AACCACATTCTCCATTGCTTCAAGGAACAAAGGTAGAGATTGACCTCTGTGACCTCAAGGTGTGGCGGTACACACCTTTAGTCCTGATGCCTGGGAGGCAGAGGCAGATTGACCTCTGCGACCTCAAGGCGTGGTAGTACACGCCTTTGGTCCCAATGCCTGGGAAGCAGAGACAGGCAGATCTCTGTGAGTTCAAGGTGATGTAGCACACGCCTTTAATCCCAGCGCACGTGCTTGGTAACTCTCTACCGCTGCGTCCCTGCCTACTTCCGAGGCATCATCTGGGATTATGGGCAGCAGACCAATCCAAGAGTGACACGTCAAAAGCGAGGACTGTTTCCTTTATAAGGGCTGGGTTCCCCTCATTCTGGGTCTCCGCTTTGGAAGCTGATGCTCTAGCTCCCAAGAGACATTAAAGCTATTTCTGCAGGAGAATCCTGTGTCCCGCGTGGTTCTTGCAGGCGAGACCGAGCGCAGGACAGATCAGGACTATAAAGCTCTCAGTTACTGCTCCAGCACCATGCCTGTCTGCTTCCCAGGTGATAATCATGGATGAACCCAGTCATCAAGCCCCTCAAACACACACTTTTTACTGTATTTTTTACACAAATGACCTACTGAGCCCATTAAGTGTTCCTCATAGGTATTTAGGTATAAGGCTGACCACTTGAACATGCGCATTGTGTCAGGGGTCTTGTCCCTGTGGGAAACCTACCCCCATAACCTAGCATCATTGACTGCCTGCAGTTCTTCAACTAGGGGTGGGTGTACCTTCCCTGACTCCTGCTGGAACGTTGGCTGGTGAAGTCTTGTGCAAGTCTTGAAGCTCTTTATTTCAGCGTCAGCACATAGCTACTATTCTTACTTGAGGCTTTCTGTAGATCCAGGTCTGACTGTGTGTTCCAAAGTGTCCAACTGATGAGGATCCATGTGACCATAACGTCTCTGGTCCTCATATTCCTGTAGCTCACAAAATGGTATCCAAGGCTCTAAGTTACAGTTCAAACTTACTATAGCTCATCCCTCTGTAAGCTCATTGTATGTTTTTCCTGCCCTGATGACCACTGTACAGTCACCATAGCTAATTTTACTGGCACTAAAAACAGAATCTGAACCAACAGATCCTCAGCCTGTTCCCCAAAGCGCTCTGCAGGACATTCCTGAGGTGATGAACGTGGAGGAAGTCTTCCTGAGGGAATTCGGGAGAGGCCAGGCTGTAGAGCAGGGCAATGACAAAGAACCTAGGCCTAGCTCTGAAGTGGGCACTGCCCTGCCACACGTGACAGGTTTCTGCTGTTCTTTCAGCCTCATGTAAAATGCCTCAAGATTCCTCAACTTGGGTTTATTTCATTCTGGCTTCCCAAGATTCTCCTTGAGAAAGCATTAGTCTAAAAGTAGAAAGCTTAGGTTGCCCTACTCAAAAAGAAGGACCTTACGTTAGGCTTTCTAAATTGTTCCTTATTCGGCACTTTTTCCATTCAACTCAATAAAATTTCCCTTACCAAACCCCAAAAGTTCTGTTTGTAGTTGTTGTATGTAGTTAGAAACTATAATTCCTTATTTTTCTCTCAGACTCTGTTTTCAGGGCAACAGTCTCTGCTGTGATTGGGCGCTGCTGCAGGTAGACAGCTTGGTTCTGAGCGAATGAGTTCGGGATCTCATTTTATCACCATGTCTTCAGAATACAGTGGTAAGGATGGCCTTCCTGCCTGCAGCATGAATGCCCAGGAAGTTTTCCAAAGGCCTGGAGAGACTGTCCCTGCAGCCTTGAAAATTGGTATTTATTTAGTTTTCACCCAGAACAATGTGAATTCTAGAAATATTTAAGGCTAATCTCAATTTAACATTGTAATCTCAGTGTTTATTTCAAAATAAAGCATATCCTGGAAGCCACTATTCACAGTTCAGAGATTTATTACATGGTTGAAAACCATAGACATTTTAAGGCTTCATACCAATTGTCCTGTGACTTTTGTTCGGTCAGCACGGTCAGTCCTCTTGAGGAATGAATTTCAAAGTAACCAACCCTTCCACAGTTGTGTTAATTATACTGCTAAAAAAAATTAGTGTCAAAAGTTCAGGACTAGTTGGTTCTCGTGGTTGTTCACCCCCAAAAGAACCCATGCACACTGAAGGGACCACTGTGAGATGCTCAAACAACACAGAATCTCTGTGGCCAGTGGTCTACATGTTAGTCTGTGGGGAGGTTAACAAACAGACTGTGAATATTCAGAACATAATTTTTTAATAGCTATGAGGATCTGGAAAATGGTTCTGTAGTGAAGAATGCTTGGAGCCTGTCCAAAGAATTTAGTTCTCAGCACCCACATCAGGCAGCTCATAACTGCCTATAACTCCAGCTTTGGGGGACCCAGTGTCCTGTTCTGGCCTCCACAAGTACCTGAACACATGTGCACAGACACAGACACAAGCACACACACGTGCGCACAAGTAAAAATAAAAATAAAGTCTTTCTAAAATAGTTATGAAATTATACCATCACATTTCCCAACAAAATATATTGATGGCTTTTTAATTGGTATATACTCATTCGACAGATTAACGGGTATCATAAAGATATTCAAGTACATCATATATAAAAAAATCCATATAGCCTATATATTCAACACACACACATACACACCTCTGACCACCCCCTAATTTGATGACTCTTATAACATGGTTCAATGCTGCAAATTCAGGTTCCTTGGCTCCAGATTCAAAGCTCTCCCCAGTCCAGAGCTCTGCTGACTCCAAATCCTGTATGATTCTGTCCTGGTTTGCCTGTCTGCTGCTGTGATGAAACACTGACCAAAACAAACGTGGGGAGGCAAAGATTTATTTGGCTTACAGTTTCTAGTCCATTACAGGGGAAACCAAGGCAGGAACCTGGCGCCAGGAACCGTAGCGAGGACCTTGAGGGGCACTCCTTACTGGCTTGTTCTGCGTGGCCTGCTCAGTTTGTTCTCTTATACAACCCAGGCCCACCCAGGATTGGTACCACCCACTGCGGACTAGGCCTTCACATGTTATCATTGTTTATTAAGAGAATTCCCCATTCACATTCTGATGAAGGCCCGTGCTCAGTTGAGAGTCCCTCTTCCCAGATAAGTCTCGGTTTTGTGTCAAGTTAACAAGAACTAGCCAGCATGTGTCTAACTGCTATAGAAAAGCTTGGCCGTTAGACACCGCCAGCTAGAAAGAAATGTTACGCAGTGCCGTAAGCCAGGCCCAGGCAGGAAGTCATGATGTTATATCATCACTTAGCTGATTGCAAAACTTAGGTGTTTGTGATTCTGTCAGTTACACAGCTTTTCCTCAACTATCTCCTACCTGCAGAGACCTGATAAGTAACCCCAAAATGAAAGGGGTGGACGGTTCATCTTTAAGTCAAATCACATAAAATTACATGCTGAATGGTCTTGTATTTGAATGTTGAAGGTGTCTTAATGGCTGTGAAGGAGTCATTAACAACTTGGTTATTAGATGCTGTAAGGCATAGTAAAATTCATTTCCAGTGTGTTTTATAGTATCTTGCTTTTTTGATAAAGCTTGTTGTTCTAACATACTGTAGCACACACCATGAATGAGGCACACCGATTTCAACATCTGAACTATCACAGAGAGAAAGATGATGTACAGTTTGGCTATTACTTAGCTATGTGGTCTTTTTGAAAAAGAAATCTGTAGAAAATAAGAAAAATATTACATTCTTAGTATCACTAGTGAGTGTATCCGTGTTTACTATAGAATCTTCCGGCCTGTCTGGTTTACAGATTCTGTGAGCACAGCCTGCCCTCACTTACAGTCACTGCCGTATCCACCTAGAAGGTCAATCCTCACTTCTCTATATTCAAACCTCCTTTAACCTTGTCCTTCCCTCCACACCACCACCAGTTTCGCATCTAGTCCTCCACAACTGTAGGACGCCAAAGTCTCCATTTCCACATCATCTGCCCAACCCTCCCCTCCTCCATTAAGCTGTTCTCCCTAGATCCTCTGCTCCAGATTCAATCCGGTCCCTTGCCAGCATTACAGGCTGACCATCACACCCATGCTTGCTACACTCGGATTTCACAACATGTTGTTATAGTCACAACTTTGCACACGTTCTTGGAGCCCTTGTTCCCTTCACAGTTGCTTACTAACCAGACACAGACTATCTGTTCAAATCTCTCACTCCGGGGCTGGGGATGGGCCATGGGTCTCTCTGAAAAGCACTTCCTTAGCATGCACAAATCCCTGGTTGATCACCAGCACCACATAAAATTAGCTGTGGTGGCACTACCTATAATCACCATATTGGAAGAAAAAGACAAGAAAATCAGAAGTCCAAGGTCATTCTCAGGTATATAACAAATTGAAGACCATCTTGGAATACATGAGATCCCATCTTAAAGAAAGAAAGAAAGAATCTTGGTCACCCCTCAATATGTAATATAATATGTAATATTTTCACACCTCGTGGAGGGAGTTGGATTATACAGTAACTAGCAGGACAGATTCCAAAAAGTAAAAATGAATGTTTGTTGATCAAAACTATAATCTCAACTAATAAAACATTTAGGAACAAACACTTTTACAAGCAATTGCTCCCAAAGAACAACGTTTTATAAGACATTCGCCTTTTGTTTGATACATTTCTGTGCCATTTGCAAGACACTGGCAGTGCGCTGACATCGCTGCTTTAGCTGAGAAAAGGAGACGCTGTCAGGAGTGCAGAGCAGCTAGAGAGGCTTGGCCGTCCTTACAGCACACCCGCCAGCACGGCTTGGCTTTGGGAAGCTCCAAAGCAACAATCACAAAGAAGGACACAGTGGGATTGTGATGAGTACAAGCTGAGAGATAAAAGCGTAACAAAACCAGAGATTGAGAAACGTCTCAGGAGGAACATGACATAACAGACCCTACACTCCCATTTGTCAGTCGGACTCTGAGCAGGAAACCACAGAGCTGTCTGGTGTATTGATAAACTTTAGACTTCCTTCCAGTTTGTAAATGCACTTCTCCAGAGCAGAGAAGTATCTTTCGGTGACTGTATCTTCCCCTCTACATAAGCCAGCTTGCCACATCCAGCCAGAAGAATGGGGGAAAGGTAAGATTCTACCTATAACTTATTTCCAAATCTATTGCTATATCTTTTCTGTGTATATAGCCACATAACTCCATACAGGGGCAGAATATTCAAGTAGCCATGAGGACCATGGCAGGAAAAGATGTGAAACCTGCAACTCCCTTTTGGTGAGTTTGGTGCTGGCAGGCTGGACAGTGAGGGTTAGAAGCTGCTAATTAATATTCATTAGGTTCCATCCTGACCTCCTTGCCACTAAAACTTTTGCTGCTAACCTGCTCAACAGATGAGCTCAAATCACAGAACCTTGTGGCCAGATAACACACTCAGAGCTCCAGCAGACCTGAGGCAACTCTCCTCTTGCTCAGCCTAGTTGCAGATGCCAGCCGGTGGTCTTACCAAAGAGCAGAGCCCAGTCAGCTGCCCTACCCACATTCAGAGCAAAGGGAACTGCCCAGCCATCTGAGAAACTGAAAGCGCACTCCCACAGCTTGGGGGCCAGCAACAACTGCCCATTCAGCATCACAGATGAGACACCTGGGGGAGGGGTCCCCGCCAAAGTACACCATGAGAAGTCATAAATGGCCATCTGCACAAATGCTCAACATTAGAAAAAAAGACATAGCTTTATAAATCTCAAGAAATTATGAGTCCTCCAAAGACACAATGCTACAACAGCAGATATTAAACAAAGAGAGAAATGACGGAAAACCCAGACCAGCCCAGTCCTCCTGAAAACTGTCAGTGAAGTTCAAGGATATGAAGGCAAGAAGTTAATTAAGGTCTGGGAGCAACACCGCAGCTAAATAAGCAATCATCGCCCCCATTTAGACCCCATTTGCACAGCTCTCTTCCTCGCCGTATATTACTCATGCAAGCTAATGTGTCTGTTATGGCATCCCATGCAAACAGTACCTGGAGGCATTCATGCTTCTATCGCCCTCCGTTCCCTTCATCTCCTGTTCTCCACCCCCTAGACAGTCCCCATTCTGCTTTCTGTGCTGTTTCTTAAGCTCCCCTGTTCCCTCCATTTTCCTCAATCTGAACCAATTCACTACACGCACACATCATGTATACAGACACAGACACACAGACACACACCACACAAACACCACACTCACGGCACACACACGTACACACAGAGCTATATACACTACACGCATATATACACACAGACACAAACACACATACACATACAGATCACACACATCTACACACGCAGACACAGACACATATCACACACACACCACATGCTCCATACATACCACACACAAATACATACACCACACACACACATACACACCACACACACAAACACATATACACACCACACACACCACACACGCCACACATACCACACACACCACACACACATACACACACATCACACACACCACACACAGACACACACACCGCATGCACCACATACCATACACACACCACACATACACAGACACACACACCACTCACACATACACACACACCACACAGACACATACCACTCATACAGGCACACACAGACACACACCACACACAAAGACACACACACTACTCACACATATACAAACAGACACATACCACACAGAGAGACACACACATACCACTCACACAGACACACACAGACACAGATACACACTACACACACCCATATACAGACACACCACACCAACCCCACACACACACACTGATACACATACAGACACACACCACAGACACACATCACATACAGCTGTGTACATCAGAAGTAGAAACAAAATGTCTTAACTGATCACCTCACACTTTGTTTATTGAGTTGGGGTCTTTCACTAAACCCAGAGTAAGCTAACTCCAGCCTGGATTTCAAGCTTGCTCTGGGGCTCCCCTGTGTCTTAGTCAGGGCCACAATTGCTGTGCTGAAACACCATGACCAAAAGCAACTTGGGGAGGAGAGGGTTCATTCCACTCACAGTTCCATAGAACAGCTCATCCTCAAAAGCAGTGAGGGCATGAACTCAAGAAGGGCAGAAACTCAAGCAGAGAAGGAACCTAGAGGCGGGAACAGACGCAGAAGCCATGCATCAGTGCTGCTTACTGGACTGCTTGCTACAGCTTGCTCAGCCTGCTTTCTTAGGGCACCCAGGCCCACCAGGTCAGGGATGGCACTACTATAATGGGCTGGACACTCCACCATCCACCATTAATTAAGAAAATGCCCTACAACTGGATCTTGTGGAGGCATTTTTAAGGTCCCTCCCTTTCAGATAACGCTAGATTGTGTCAAGTTGACATAAAATGGTCATCGTATCATTTCTGCCTCCTAAGTGCTTGGATTATAGGTGGCTACCACACCTACCCAGTTTTGAAGTGGGTTCTGGAGATCTGAACTCCAGTCCTCGTGTTTGCATGGCAAGGGCATTATCTCCTGAACCATCTTCCCAGCCTCAGCCTCACATTTTGAGACAGTGTCTCACAGAGAATATGAAAGTCACAGATTAGCCAGACTGGCTCACCAGCAAGTCCCCGGGGGTTTGTTTGCCTTCACCTTTCAGCTCTGAGATTACAGGCACTCAGAACCATGCATGAGATCTGAACCTAAGCCCTTGACCCACTGAGCCATATCCCAGCCCGATTGTTTTCTCTGTAGCTGAATAAAACATGTGTGTGTGTGTGTGTGTGTGTGTGTGTGTGTGTGTATGCACACGTGTGTATAGGGGATATGTTTCCTTTATCCATCCATCCTTTCATGTACACGTAGATTGGTTCCATAGCTTGACTATTGTAAATGAAACCATGATAAACACAGATATATAATTATCTCTATTGTGTACTGACTCTGATTGCTTGGGCTAGATGCCCAAAAGCAGCCTACATGGACAGCGCCTGTGGCAGTTTTAGCTCTCATCTTTTAAAATCTCTCCTGATGTCCTTACTGGCTGCCATCACTCACATTCCCTCTGGGAGCCAAGGGACCCCTTTCCGCCACGTTCTCCCCAGCATCTGTCACTGCTTACTGCCTTTTGTCGGGGTGATCATCTGAACTGACTTTGTACAGCATGAGAGATGGGGTAGTTTCTGTCTTCTGCCTGCGGTTTCCTGTGTAACAGCGTTACTCCCTGCAGGGGCTCTCTTACCGTGGTTGGGGAGCAGACGGAGGCAGCTGTGTGGGTTTTCTCTCTCTAGTCTACTACACTGGTCTCCATGACCTGTGCCTTGCTCCGGTACCACTCTATTTTATTGTACAGGTCAGTACATCATTTGAAATCTGAGGCTGTGATGCTCTGAGGCTGTGATGCTTCTAGTATTGCGCTTGCTCAGGAGCTCCGTCATCATTTATGGTCTTTTTTGCTTCTGTATGAATTTGGGGTCTTTTTCTATTTGTGTGAGGATATAACTGGAATTTTATGGGTGACTTGGAGTGACATAGCCATTTCCCTTTTTATTTTTCCTTTGTATCTTTCGCATCTGCTATGCTACCGATGCTGGGCCCTCACTGGAGCTCCTCTCGGCTGCCCTGTGTCGTGGGGATCCTGCAGCTTTGGGTCTGTAGGACCAATCCCTTCACATGCTCTGGCAGATCACAGATCGGGCACATGTTGAGGTGGGCCAACTCATAACCCTGGTTCTCGGCCTGCCTAGTTGCAGGGTTGGTCAGTCCGCCAGTTCTTCTTTGTCCTCACTACCAGGGTGAGGTCTCTTGAATTGCCCTGGCTGGTTCACCCCTTGCCAAGATGAGCAAGGGTCAGGGCCAGCTATCCTGCTTTCACGTCCTCAGATTTGGTTCTCTTACCTCACACCTCACCTTCAGGGCCAGCTCTACTATGTTGCCCAGGCATGGGGGCAGGGGCCACTCTCCCGAGTGCTGCCGCTGATGAACGGCAGGGACAGTTCTCCAGTGTTCACAGCGTCAGGGCTGGCTCACCTCTGCCAACAGGATTCATTCTATTGAGTTGCCTAGGAGAACAGCAAGATCTGCCCTCCCAACTTGTGCAGCTGATGGAGGGTAGGGGCAGCTCTCCCACTCATATAGATGCAGGGTCAGCTGTCCCACCGGCCTCAGGCATTTATGGGAGGGGATGGGGACGAGGGCATCTCTCTCCTGCCCATGGACATCACTTTGGGGTTGGCTCGCCCTTACCTCCACTGATGGGGTTGGCTCTACCATGCTGCCCAGGAAAGGTGCGGGGCCTGGACACAGCCATTTTCACATTATTAGTATGGACAATAAACAGACGAAAGTCTTTCCAAATCTTTGGGGGGAGGGGTTGGTTTTTGTTTGGTTGGTTGGTTTGGTTGGGTTTTTTGTTTTTGTTTGTTTGTTTGTTTTGTTTTTGGCTTTTTGAGTATATCCCTGGCTGTCCTGGAACACACTTTGTAGACCTGTCTGGCCTCAAACTCAGAGCGATCACCTGCTGTAAGTGGGGTTTTCCTGTTCCAACTGCTTGTTCTCAAATAACCAGCAACTGCTTCCCAAATAACTGACTTGGAGATTTAAAACAAATTATAAATTCTCACCCAATAGCTCAGGCTTATTACTAACTAGCTTAACTAAACTATTTCTATTGATCTACTCGTGGCTTTTACCTCTATCCCATTTTGTGTGTCTGAATCGTTCTCCATCTGGCTGGTGACTCCTCTAACTTTGCCCTTCGTCATCCCATCATTTTCAGTTTGACTTTCCCACCTAACTTTATTCTGTTCAGCTATTAGTCAGTCATCTTGTTTATTAAATCTATCATGGCGACTTACATTCCCATAGTGTACAGAAGGATTATTCCACAGCAACCTGCCTCTGCCTCCCAAGTGCACCACCACAATCAGCTTCAGTCCTTCCAGACATTTAACTGTCTTCTTCGACTTATTTCTTCTGAGCCTTACTATTTCCACTGTTCCAAGAATTTCTCAGGTCATTGTCTCAGTTAAGGCTTCTGTTGCTGTGAAGAGGCACCGTGACCACAGTAACTCTTATAAAGGAAAGCAATCGGGACTGGTGTACAGTTTCAGAGGTTTAGCCCATTATCATTATGGTGGAAAGCATGGTGGCATAC